TATGTTAAATTAGGTGTTAACTTAATAGACTCATTTCCAATTGAACATCAACAAATTCTTTGTTTCCAAATAAAACTATATTCACAGATTCTGGGAGTCAAGACTTGAACACAGTTATAATTTATATCAAACATGTCTTCCAAAGCTTCCTTCACTCCCTGCCAGGGCTTTTAGGAGTGCCTGTATTACAGGTATGTAATTCAGCATCATAGGTGTGCCACAACTGTGTCAGTCTATAGACTGGATCAGCACAGATCTGAGTGTGGCTGAATGGGATTACAGAAAACAGAAGACCCAATCCAGGTGCGAGTGGCACGAACCCACAGGATTTTCACCTGAATGGAATACAAAATTGAGGAAATGGGGGCTTGTGGCTGCTGCTCTCTGCCTTCCCTGCCTTGGATTCTTGCCCACCTGGCATGCTGCCCTGCTCTTTGCGAGCATGAGTTTTCATCTTGGCTCTCAAAAGTGAGCATTCACTACCCACCTGTCGTGGCTGACCCTTGTCACCTAGACCCAATATTCCTGTATATTTGATGAACAGTACAAATCATACAAATCAAGTATGCCACAATGCTTATCTTGATAACTAGTGAAGGCTCTTCTCTTTGGGAAGGGAAGTATTTGACATTTATTCCATTGAGCATGCAGGACCATTAAACAAGCAGGACCATGGCTTTGGGAACAAATAGCCCTGGCCTTGAGTGTGCTTGCCAATGCCAAATGCACCTGGAAGACAGGCTTGATGCAGTGAAAATTTGTCTTACACTAGGTGTGTGCCTGGTACCCATCCAAAGTGTTTCTTCCTTCTTATGATTTTTTTTAGTATTTTAAGTAGGAAATCTCACTTTTCCCTTTGGATTGATTATGATATTAAGTCTTTTTCTTTATATGAATTTACTATCCATCTACTAATATCTATCTACATACTAGGCCTAGCTATATCCATGGCTGTTTTCATAATTTGTTTCATCCATAACATGTTTGCTTTTACCATCTCACAATTTCATAAAAGCTTTCTGATTCATCAAGTACAAGATTTGGGTATTGTGTGATATTTTAAAAATAAAATTTGATCTGGGTATCGTAAAGAATGTCTGTCATTTCAATCCTTGAAAGGCTGAGAGTGGAAGATTGCCATGAGTTTAATGTCAGCCTTGGCTACAGGTGAGTTCAATGCCAGCCTGGGAATCATAGGAAGAAACAGTCTCAAGACACTAAAATAAAATATGTAAAAATAAATTAAAGTAAAGTTAAAATTTATATGCATGGACAGATGTGTTAGATCAATACTCTGAGTGTCTGCATTATGACCGGTGCTGTATATTGTGTCTATGTGAACAGCATCTCACTCCCCTCCTCCATGTTCATAAGAGGACATAGCCTCATTTTGTGTGTTAACAACACCAAACAAAGTCATAGGGCTAAAGCAGCAGATATTGATATTCATTCTTCTTAGGGAATGCAAATGTCTTGGTTATCCACTGTTGAACCTAAAAATATATCACAAAGATTCAGAGAAAAAAATTTAAAAAGAGGTTCAGCAATGCCAGAAATTAGTTGCCAAATATGAGTGTCAGCAATAGAGTTTGGGGAAGAAGCATCTCAACCAAAGTAAGACATAAAAGGAGTGCACCTGATGATGCAATAGGCTGGGGAAAAACAGGTCCAGAAAGAGCGACGAGTGGGCTTGGGTACCTCAAATCAGTGCTTTGATATTGTCATGCACTATAATGTTATTTTCAATTAAAATGGAAATAGTTCTCTCTTCGTTCTTCCATTTTGAACCAAATCTTAATTGAAGAGAACTAACCAACTTGTTATATCAGGAGAAAATTTATACCCATCAATAAATCTTAAACGATTAGAAAAATTGGCAAGTACAAACATAAAGAAGGAAAATGTCAAGGAGAAATACATACACAAGGAATATAGCTGTGAAAGTACAAGGACTGGAACACAAGCTTCTAAAAGGCATGAGAAGAAGAAGCAGCAGCTGCTGCTGCAGAGAAAGGCAAGCGTCTCCATTCTGCACTTGGCATATGAACTGTCTGCTTCAGGGAAGATGTAGCACTCACAGCCATAATCGCAGAATTGTATCATGAATTAACCACAACCTCCAGAAGACATCCCATGAATGCATTAGGCTTTGGGGGACATTACACACAAATGTAGGTAATCTCTTAAGGAATTTACATTGCAGTTTATTTCTGGATTATAAGTTTCTGTGTAAGTATAAAACTCATCTATCTTTAATTTAAATATAAGAATATTCAGTTACCAGCTCAGAAGTAACACCTAATGGGAAAGTAAACATACGTTTTTACAACTACATGAAGACTTTTTTTTTTTTTCCCCAAAACCGGGGATTGAACTCAGGCTGTTGCACTTGCCAGCGAAGCACTTAGTCCACTGAGAAATCTCCCTGGGCCAACACTATTTCTATAGATATACAGCAAAACAGTTCATACAGAGAAAATACCATTAAGTTTTCACCTAAAAATCTTTTGACTGCGTTCCAAATGATTTTATTATTTGAAAAATGATTTGTTTTTAATTTTTATTGGAAACTGCCACCAATCTCTTCCAGTATTTCCCTATAGCATTTTTCATGTCCTTATTCCTAAAAGTATAAATCAAAGGGTTGAGCAAAGGAGTTAGCATGGTGTAAAATATGGCCACCATTTTGTCAAAGGAGAAGGCAGATGGAGGTCTTGCATATATAAAGATGCAAGGTAGGAAGAACAAAACCACAACAGCGATGTGGGATCCACAAGTGGACAGAGCCTTTCTACGCCCTTCAGAGCTGTGCTTCCTCAGAGAGAACAAGATGACACCATAGGAGACAAGCAACAAGGAGAATATTATAATACAGATAAACCCGCTGTTGGCAATCACCAGAAGGCCGAAAATGTGCGTGTTAGTGCAGGCAAGCTTCAGTAATGGGTACAGGTCACACATGAAATGGTCAATGACATTGGGACCACAGAATGGAAGCTGAAAAGTGAAGAGAATTTGGATGATGGAGTGCAGGAACCCTCCTGTCCAGGCTATGCCAACCAGAAAATGACAGAGCTTCCTGTTCATGACGGAAGCATAGTGCAAGGGCTTGCAGATGGCCACATAGCGGTCATAGGCCATGGCTGCGAGGACAATCACTTCAGCACCAGCAAGGAAGTGTTCAGCAAAGAGCTGCACCATGCAGAAATCAAAGGAGATGGTTTTCCTCTCACAGAGGGAGTCAGCAATCATCTTTGGTGTGATGACAGAAGAAAAGGAAGCATCCAAGAAGGACAAGGATGCCAAGAAGAAGTACATGGGGGAGTTTAGTAGAGCCGGGCTGCAGATGATGGTCACCACTATTAGCATGTTGCCGCAGATGGTTGCAGTGTAGACAAACAAAAATACAATAAATATCATTTTTTGAACTTTTGGATTCTGTGAAAGTCCCAGAAGGACAAATTCATTCACAAAGCTGTGGTTTTGCATGGTTTCCAAAGGAAAGGTGAAAACATAAATCAATGATCATGTAAATCTGAAAGTATGACAAAAATTAGTTCAAACGACTTTACAATTGCACAGACATCAGTAAGTTGATTCATCATTGTGGAAACCCATCCTGCGTGTGTTGAAAACACTGGATTAGAAATCTATTGAAAGTAATTACTCGGGATGAGGCAGGATTTGGATAGAGATACATTACTGAATATCAAAAGGACCAGTTTTTCACTGTAGGTGGAAGACAACAGTGCATGTGTCCTGAAGTCCACTAGGCTTGTTTCATTTTTATCTGTGACCTCTGGTCATTGTCCATTCGTCTCCTGATGTTGATTAATGAAAGGCACCCTGAAGCTACACTGACATTATGAGAAAGGGAAGACTGTTACTATTAATTATGACTACAGTCACCTTAGACTTGGGCAGGGGCCGCTAATCTGACATCCTTATAAGGGTACTTTCTTATCTACCAATGGAAGAAAAATTAAGAGTAAGTTTAGGAAGCATCAGAAAACTATGGCTCCTTTTATCAAATTTCTTTAAAGCATTCAAAAGAG